TATAACTAAACAGGTGAAAAAAAAGAAAAGAAAATTTGTGTCTTATAAGTGTGTGCAAGGGGAATGCACTGCCCACTGTACTAAAATCCACGGAAGTGCAATCTGTGTGTCGCATTGTCAAAGGAATGCGCATTTATGATTTTGGGAATTTATAGAATGTATAAATGTTGCTCTACTTGATTCTGATCTGCTGCTGAATCTCTTTTATGCTGATGGAAATGTAGAGTTTGATCTGTGACACACTGAAACATTAATCTCTTATTGGGCTCTTCAGTGTCTCCAAGAACCTGGGCCTGTTGCATGAAGCCTTGTATGCATGCTGGATGTTTGTGTAAACAAGGTGTATAACATGTTGTCCCCTCTTGTTGCAAAGTCAATGTTCCGATGAAATTTGGGTAGAACTGATTTAAGTTTGGCATTATTAAAATCCCCAGCGACAATGAGGAAGCTGTCAGGGTGGGCTGTTTGCAGATCACTGATAATCTTGTAGAGTTCACTGCGTGCTCCACTAGCTTTAGCATTAGTGCTAGTACTAGGTGGGATGTAAACAGCAACAATGATCACCACAGTAAACTCTCTTGGGATATAAAACGGCCTGCATCTGACTGCTAAGGCCTCCACAAGTTCTAAAAATTGCACAGACACAATTGGAGCATTCCTACTCCAGCTGTTATTGATGTAAACACACAGTCCACCGCCATGTGTCTTGCCGATGATAGGGGGTCTCTGTCGGCACGGTAGCTATCTAGCCATTTAGCTGGATAGCGTGGTCTACGATGCCTCCGTGTAGCCATGTTTCAGTAAAAATAAGAACAAAGCAGTGCCTTGTTTCTTTCCTGGAGTTTATTTGTAGTCTCAAACAGTCCAGTTTGTTTTCTATGGAGCACATGTTGGAGAGCAGTGATGGAAGCGCGGTATACCGGCATGGATACCGGCTCGCTTACTGCACTTCCACTTCCTCGCCGACACCGTTTTCGATGGACTTCCAGGCGGACGCTAAGATGTGGTGGTGCCGTAGCCCGTCTGTTCAGAGCTTGCAGAATGCTGCAGCAGCGCAATTTCTCCACTGTGTCTCCATCTGGTTGAGTTTAATGGTGTTTTCCTAAATCCAAAAGTTGTTGGTGGTTATAGAAGTGTTTGACTGTAGTTCCGACGTACATTACAGCTATATAATGAACCAGGACTCAAGTAGAACTTGAGTAAAAACACGAAAATTGCACCATGATTTCGACACGGTGTGGCCGCTGCGACCTAGCACACCACCATCATGGTATTTACCGTAATACCATACCAAGAGTAAGGATATGTCAGTACAAAAACTAAATGTAGCTTTTATGTTGCAGATTTCAAGTCAAATCATAAACAACATAATCTGACCTGAGCGTTTCCAGCTTCCAGTTTGTAGTCTTCAGTCGAGAAAACAGTAGTGTCAAACCTGAGTCTTGCACGTTGTTGTTACTCAGGTCTAGATCTCTGAGCTCACAGTCTTCTAGTTGAAGAGAAGAGGACAGAGCTCCACATGCTCTCTCTGACAGGTTACAGCTATTCAGCCTAAAAAGATATATGTATAATAAGAAGAATGGAATAGCAAGAGTTTTCTGTTTGTAAACTGAATTTAAATTATAAAAACATCATGACTTACAGAGCTTTTTTAGAGGCTTTGACAACTGGCAGCAGCCTCAGAAGAGCTTCTTCTGAAGCAGAGTATTTCTTCAGGTCAAACACATCCAGATCTTTTTCTGATGACAGTAAGATGAAGACTAGAGCTGACCACTGAGCAGGAGACAGTTTATCAGTGGAGAGACTTCCTGAACTCAGGGACTGTTGGATCTCCTCCACTAGAGAACGATCATTCAGTTCATTTAGACACTGGAACAGGTTGATGTTTTTCTCTACAGACAGATTCTCACTGAGCTTGTTCTTGATGTACTGAACTGTTTCCCGATTGGTCTGTAAGCTACTTCTTGTCTGTGTCACCAGGCCTTGCAAACAAATTTTATTAGTTTTCAGACCCAAGAGAAAACGAAGGAACAAGTCCAGGTGCCCATTTGGGCTCTGTAAGGCCTTGTCCACAGAACTCTGATAGAAGTCGTTCTCTGTCTGAGAGCTTGTTTGTTGTTCTTCCAGCTGATTGACTCCGGAGTTGATGAAGGTCAG